ATGACCACATACCTCCGCACACGGACATGCTTCAGGGGAATCGTTACTCTAGCAGTAATGTTCGGTAAAGCGTGATGACCACATACCTCCGCACACGGACATGCTTCAGGGGAATCGTTACTCTAGCAGTAACGTTCGGTAAAGCGTGATGACCACACACCTCCATGCTTTTCCTGTAGGCAGAGGCTCTGTCTTCGAGGCCCTTGATCTCCTCAGTTGCTTTTTCATTTAAACGACGCAGATCCAGCACCTGCTCAGAGATGAGAAGCGGATCATGCTCCAGAGCACTCCAGATTTCTGTACATCAGTTACAAGACATGCTTCACAGAGATTAGACTGCTATCAAATCAAACTGCAAACACCACACATTAATGTAAAACTGCCATACGACAGACTTCATCATCAGATCATTTCATCTCTCTTTCCAAACATTTTACTAAAATATAAATAATAATAAAATGAAATATTTCAGCAAAACTATAATAAGTGCTACTCCTTAAACCAAACACTTTGCACAAATATCTTTTAAACAAATTTCTTTATACGATAAATATTTACACATACCCAAGGAGGGACAAATATTTGGGATATTTCACCCCAGTAAGGTACTGGTAAATGCAGGCGAGAGCCAGATTAAGGTCACATGACAGGTCCGGAGCAGCCCACCCCCCACATAGGTCGCCCAGTCATGGTGCAGCCTTGGGGAGGGGGGGGGGTCACGGTCGAAGCTTCGGCCGCTCATTATTTATCCCGCCTGACAGTCCATTCCTCTTCCTGTCAGGGGTCCGTGCCCACGTCCCCCGCTTCACACTGCTAATGCCCCCCCCCCCCACCACCCACCTTGGGCCTTCAGAGGCATAATTATGTCCCTCAGTTAGCTGAAGCCGGCTGAATTGCCCCCAACTGCCCCTAGAGGGCAGGATGGGGCCCTTTCATTAAAAAGCAGCCAGCAGAGGCAGGCTGACGCAGAGCAGAGGTGCTGCTGAGACAATGACCATCAGGGGGCAGGAGGAGCGGTTCGGAGCAGGGAGGGAGGAGGCTGAGGAGCAGCCGAGAGGAGCTCCATCAGCCGAATGACTAATGACGCCGACAGCGGAGGCCGCGGGTGTGAGAACGAAGTCGTAATGCGGGAGTAAACAACACGAGGCTGTTAGCAGGATTTGCCAGCCGCACCCAAGACCGGATTACGCACAATAAGAAAGGAGAGCAGATAGTGACTATAAACCGACACAAAAGTGGTGAGGAAGTAATAAGCGTTTCTCTCCTTTCACACGGCCTTTGATGGATAATTCAGCATCGCTGGTCTTGCAGTGGGGTGAATCTCCTCTGAATTCGATGTGCAGTACAAAGCCAGAAGCATCACTCACTGTTTACCCACTGCTGAGGTGCTGTACGAAGGCAGAGCGCCGGCTCTGGGAGGCGTGACGGCAGTGCTCCTCTCTGCCCGAGCCTCCTTTAAGCCATAGAAACAACCTTCAGCTCACGACCCTGAACATGAGCATGGGGCCGGCGCTCGGAATCCAGACCCCCCCCCTCCCAAGATTAGGGCACAGAGGGGCCCCCGCTACAGGACTTCCTTACTGTATTTAATGAGCCCCCTTACGTAGACACTCTGCGCCCTCCAGGCACAAGCTCAACATCTCCCCTACCTCACTGGTCATCTTCTCCACCGAGTCCTCGTAATGGTGCACCATTTCCTTCAGACTCTCCACCAGCTCAGAGGGACTCTGGGTCGTGTCAGCAGCCACAGCACCTGCGAGGGAGTGGGGTTGGGCCACATCTGAATTCAAACCCTTCTTAGTTAATTCAGTGTGGGATTCGAACACACAAGCAGAGCGACTGGCAGTTGGTCCTGAGGGAAACACATGGGAGAGACAGTGGCGGGTCTCACGGGTATAGCGGGCGGTACGCCGGGGGGGTCTCAGGGGTATGGCGGGCGGCATGGCGGCGGGTCTCACGGGTATAGCGGGCGGTACGCCGGGGGGGTCTCAGGGGTATGGCGGGCGGCATGGCGGCGGGTCTCACGGGTATAGCGGGCGGTACGCCGGGGGGGTC